TTCATCGACTTGTATCAGAAAATCGCATCTTATTTTGGCTAGAAGATATAAAATAGAAATTGAACAGATTCAAATAGAAGATGTTTGTTGCTTCAAAATCAGATATATGCGAGATCTTTGTGTCACTTTATTTCAGAGCCGCAAAGGCTTTCAAAATACGTCGCATTTATTTCTCATACACATAATGAAACTCGTTCATACACATTTCTTATCTTACTATCAGCGCGAATTTGAATTAATGCGTTGTTCCATACGTTTGCACATGTTTTATTCATTACTCTTAGATGCATGAGTATCAGAAAAGTTTTTTTTGCACATAGAATCTCTTTTATTTCTCCACAAAATAACACAAAAAGGATTTACGCTTTCTAATGCGATAATACAAAAACACTATTAAAGAAACATAAGAAATTGTTTGTGTACAGAAGTTATTTATATTTTCTTTCAATCCAAAATGAGATGCGATTTTCTGATACAAGTCGATGAATATCAACAATGCATGGTGGATCAGTCATTGTAATTGTTTCATCACCCGTCTGCATATCAGTCATTGCCTGTTCCTTTTCGATAAAACTAAAACGTAGATATTTGAGTTGATGTTCATTCAAGTGAGTGAAAATGAAATCAATCCATTTGTCAATGTTACACCATGCTGATAAGATATGTTTACACTGAATGAAACGTAGACATTCTAATCGAGGAAAATGACGTTTATTAATAACGAAAGAAAGAAGTGGAATCATCACTTCTTCATTCAAATGTTTATTTATAATAGACGAACATTCTATATGTAGTCGATCAATACGTTGAAGAAAAGCATGAAGATATTCATTGTCACGACCATTAGTAATCCAATAATTCAATTCATTTGTACTAACAAACAAACATTTTGTATTCGGTAATAAACGAAGCCAGCCAGTTAATTCTGTAACGAAAAAAATGTCAGTAAAATTCATAGATAAGTTTTACGACAAAATCCAGTTAAACTTCCACACAGAATAAAAGTCCATCTCTAAGATTATTAGTTTCGTGCAAAAAAAACCGGTTCACTTTATCTAAGATGGATCCAAATTGATTACAAATGCAAGAACATGCGTTATTCTATTAATTCGAAGAGTGACTAATCTCAATCGAAGTATACTTTCACAGTTGTAGCTTGTGCAACTAAAGCATCCCTCCCTTATGGATTTCTATTCTGTGAGAGTTTAATGACAAGAGATGAATCGAGCCTGTACCTTTCAGTCTCGATTGAGGTGCCTGTCGTCTCGTGATCTTGGTATCGATAACTATCGGTCTCAGTCACGATTAATCTCAGTATCGTTCTTGAGAGTGAGTGTGTGTCAGTGAGAGATAAATACGTTACCCACATCCTCACACATCCACTCACCCTCAAGACCGAGCATATTTAACACTGAATATGATCATGTCTCAGGCCAAGACATGAGCAAAACTCACGTCGATCGAGGCCGAAAGACTTGGGCTTGATATATCTCTAGTTTAGTATTTTATTGCATCAATTCGTTGATAAAATATATTTTTTGAGCGTCCATTCAAAAGATGCTCTCTGAGGAGTCTATGAGTTCTCTCAAACAAGATCCGTGTAATTCGATAGAGTAACCAATGCTCTATCTAATCATATCAAAATAATCAACTTTCAAGTTTTTTTTAGAAACTCAGGAGAACTGTTAAAAATAACATAACCAGCCCATACATTCAAAATTTGAGCCATAATAGTTCATACGCAAAAGATAAAACAAATCTGAACATACGTTGAAGATCATAATTAGTCATGGTGTCAGATGTACATATTAGTTGGAGTGTGGTGAAATGTGTAAGCTGTATATGATCATCTATATCGTCCGGTAATATTCCTCTTGTGTGCGATATTACTAATGTTTTGTCTGCAACAACGATATAATTAAATACATCAAGGAAATATTTTTTTTTTGAAAAAATAATATTAATAACTTACTCTGACTGGAGGGACATTGAAGTGCGTATAGAAATGAAACTGGTATTTTTTGCTTTTCAACCAAAGAGATAAACAAACATCTTATACCACACCAGAAACTTTTAAGTGTTATAGATAGATCATTTGGTATTTCTTGTCCTTTCTCACTAGTATTGAATAGTGCGTCGATTAGATCGATTGTACGATATACAGTATTGTCGAAAAATGTGTATGGAAGAGAGAATATTTGTACATAGTCAAACACTTGATGATAATTCACACATACTCGTATGCGGCCCAATGGTCCATCGAGCCAGAAAGGTGTACGAAAAGCTTCAATGAAGTCATACAATATTTGTCTACTTGGTGGCTCTATGAATCGCAGTTGGATGGCAAAATGAAGTGATCGCAATTGAGATAAACTACTACAAAGAGCAGCAAGACGATGACCATCAAAACATATATCAAGTTCGCCATTACAGTAATGAATTAAAAACAAAGAAAATTTTTCTAGTGTATTGTTGAATTTATCAACCAATTGCTCAAGATAACTACAATTGGGTCCTACAATTTTAAAATTCCTTTAAAAAAAGTAGATCTCAATAAAACAATACTTAGAATATAAATGTATTTTACCTTAAAATAAATACACGAAGTTTTTTTGGATAATTGAATTTTGTTATTAGATTTTGATCAATAGCATTAATTTGACCAATAATACCGCTGATATTTCCATCTATAAATAAAATAAATACATGTTCAACTTTTTATACAGATTTCAAAGTCAAGAAAGATATTTGATAAGAACACTTAGGTAAGATGATCAGAGTAACCAACGTTCACTATTATTAAATAAAAGTCTTGTCTCTAATTAAAATATTTCTCAAATATAATTTCCTCTATCAAGCATACAAGTGAAAAAAAGCTTTATCCTTATGATGTCATTCGGACCGAAAGTAAAAATGAATTTGATGAGTTTTAAATCTTGAAATTAGTTCTTCTTTTTCTTCGAAAAATCTTCTAGAAACACAAGACATTTACAAAACTTTCGTATGCTACAAATATTTTTATGATATAGAATACTAACTATTACCTAAATGTTCAAGTTCAGGAAGATAATGAAGAAGTACATAGAGTGTGTTTAAATTGAGAATATTGATTTTGAGATAGACAAGAGAGTAATGTGGAACATAATTATTAACCCTTTCGGGACCGGTGACGCTTTAAAGCGTCATTGAAATTTTACATGATCTGACGCAAGTGAATTTGGATTTTTTTCTGGGTCTTTTCGAAGTAAATGTTGCGGTTGCTTT